GAGCCTCAACTTCCGCAGACTTCTGCCTCGGGGCCCAAGGTGGCAGCCGCGCCCGTCATGACTTGGAAGAGGGGGTTGTGTCTAAGGGGCCCGAGGTGATGACGGAACCTGCCATTAAGCCTGCCGAGCCTGCTGCCGAGCCCACCAGACTTGCCAAAGAAAGCGTGGCCGAGGCCAACGCAGCTGTTGCCGGGGCTCATCCTGCCGAAGCTGCTGTCGAGGTCTCCAAGAGCTCTACTAATGATGTGCAGATGACGGCTTCTAGCTCGGAGGGTCAGGGGAGCCAAACCGTCCTGAACCTCAAGTGCAGCCTGAAGAAGAGTACGCTGGCTGCATACCCCGGGGAGGTCAGCGAGTGGGCCGAACTCACCCCTGGTCAACTCGGCGCCCGAGCTACCACTCATACTATGGTGGTGAGTCTCTCTTCTTTTTCTTTTTCTCTTTTTCTTTTCCCTTTTTTTTGACCGGTTTCCCTTTCGCAGGTGAACACCGCCATTCACGCCTTAACCCTCCAATCAGATCGGCACCTGAGGCGGGCTCTGGAGACTGAGAAGTCATATCGCGCAGCCCATACTGAGTTGAGGGCAGCTCATTGTCAGGTTCACCGCCTGGAGAGTGACGCCTCGGCTCAAAAGAGCTTCATCGAGGTGTTAATGGCAGAGAAGGGGGAGCTAGCCGGAGACAAGGACAAGTTGAGGGCCGAGGTGAACGGCCTTAAGGTCGGTCAGGAGGCCTTAGGGCTCGAGGTGAGCAGCCTCAAGGCTGAGCGAGATGCTTTGAAGCTCGAGGTGCAAGACCTCAAGGAAGTGAAGGGGAAGCTGGAGCATGAAGTGGGGTACCTCCAGGAGGACATAAGGGAGAAGACTGCAATATTTGCTCTTGAGGAGGCCAAGACTCAGGCCGTCATTGACTACGTCAACTCTTCCAGGTTCGACGACGTGATGACGGAGGCCTACCGTAAGGGCTTCAAGCTCAGTCGGTGGCTGATCAGGCACCTCTACCCCGAGCTGGACACGAGCGCCATCACTACTTCGCGGATTACTGACGACATTGTGCGTCAGTCAAAAGATGACCCCGATTCCGAAGATGAGGGCGCCAAAGATGAAGCAGAGGATGCT